TAACATAGTCTCAAACATAAAAAGCATACGTTGAAAACAAAACAGATTGATTTGTATAGATAGTATTTGAGGTGTTTTAATAAACAAACATTATTGGTGTCTTTCAATTGTCAAATCAGGGGATGCTATGTTTTAATCTCTAGTGTTTCTATGAAAATATGTGATCTTTTTCTTCACCTGAACTATTCGACACCATTCTGTATTAGATGGGTACCATTAATATCATTTATTCCATGGAATTATAAAAGCAAATATAAAATGCACAAGACAAATCTAAAAAAATTAATAAGAATAAAACAGAGAGAAATTATCGAATTCACAAACACAGTGAGAACTTTTATACACTTTCTCTCAGTAAATGACAGACTAAGCCAAAGAAAATTAGTAAAGATATAAAATATTTAAACAGCTTGAATAATGAATTTGACCCAATGGACACATTGGAAACTTGTAAACTCCCAAACTTGCTGGGTATTTTCTGTTTCCCAATCCCAGATCTGTCTGCCTCTCCTCACCCTGTTCTGCGTCGTAGGGGGGTTGATTCCACAGATGGCATCACCCATCTTCCTTAATCTCTGCTTCCAAGTTGAAACTCGCCAAGGGAAGTCATCAGCAGACGATCGGAAAATGGAGGAATATAAAGGTCTGAGTACATTCCCCTCTTCCTGCCTGATACAGCAACATGAGTCTGGAAATCCTGCATCCCTAACTATAACGCATGCCAAATAGATCCTATCTGCAGCTATGGTTTAAAATATTCAGATTCCGACACCTAAACGAAATGGTATCAAGAGCTGAGGCCATGGAAGGTGATGAGATCATGAGGCTCTTCCCTCAGGAGTAGGACAGTGCTCTCCTAAAAGAGGCCTGAGGGAGCTCGTCCCACCTCTCACCACGCCAGGACTCGTATCAGGCACCATCTATAACAAACAGGCCTGCACAGGACCCTGAATCAGCTGGTGCCTAGATCTTCCTGGTTTGAGTTAAAATATTAAGCACCAACCCTCCAGCAGCAGACTGAATAGACCCCCTCTTGGCCCAGGGGGCTCCAGACCCAGACGCTGAGTTGCCTTGTTGCCTTGCGAGAGGAAGCCTCCTCACCGCCTCCCTGCTGCATGTAACCCTGGCAACAATGAGATGCTAAATCATTAGCAGGCCCAAGGCTATACCAGGCAAAGCTTAAGCCACACCTGCAGGCAATCAATCTACTTAACAGATCACTTGAGTTTATCAGTGGTGCTATAGCAACAAAAATAATTTTATGGTTGGGGGTCACCACAACACGAGGAACTGTATGTATTAAAGGGTTGCAGCATTAGGTTGAGAACCACTGCCCTAGATGGAGCAGAGGAGACTACACCAGCCAGCAGAGGCATAGATAACTCCAGATCAGTGGTTCTCCACCTTCCTGATGCCACAACCCTTTAACACAGTTCCAAATGCTGTGGTGACTCTCAACCATAAAATTATTTTTGTTGCTACTTCATAACGGTAATTCTTGCTACTGTTATGAACCATAAGGTAAATATCTGATATTAGGCGACCCATGGAGCCGACCAGGAGACTATACCAGTGACCTGAGGCATAGATTACTCTAGATCAGTGGTTCTCCACCTGTGGGTCACAACCCCTTTTTAACAATGAAAATACATTGCGGCATTAGGAAGACTGAGAACCCCTGCTCTAGATGGACACGAGCCTGTATCTGCAGCACACTGCCTTTAAACATGCACAAAGCTGGTCATCATTTTGCTTAATAGAAAGGATTAATACTTTAATCTATTTTACCTGGAATTCTACATAAACATGAATTACGAAGGACATTTCAAATAAGTGTCTACTCCTTCCAACATAGCATATAGTAATGTGACATGGCTTTTACTCTGATAAAAACTTTATTATCTTAGCACTGGCAGCCACTGATCGTCTCAGGTTTTGAGATGACTTGCATAGCTCTATCACATCCAAGAAGAACCACTGGTCAATGTCTAGCTCACTGGAAGTCACGTCCCTGTAGGGCTGTCACTCCCACAGGTCCCTCCCCAGCACAGGGGGACTGCACACCCTCCTCTGCCCTCCACCCCTGCAACTCCACAGCTGCTCAATAACGCCTGATTGAACTAGGAAGCTTCCTTAGCTCAGTTTGGAATACAAAGTATTACACGATGGCGGAAACATTTTAGACCTTTTATCTGAACTGTAATAACTTGATTATTACACACCAAATATGTATTGAATTTCTAAAATATAAGCAACCTTTCTACATTAGAAAGCTTTTCACTAATCTGTTTTTCAAAAAGAATTCGGTCCCAGGGTTACCAAGATCTATCTAATCATGATCTACCAGGGGTCCTCAAACTTTTTAAACAGGGGGCCAGTCCACTGTTCCTCAGACCATTGGAGGGCCGGACTGCGGGCCCGGGACGAGTGGGCTGCTAAGCAGGACAGGCAGAGGTAGCGGCAAAAACAGCCGGTGGGCTGATAAATGTCCTCAGTAGGCCACATGTGACCCACAGGCCGTAGTTTGAGGATGTCCAAGTCTAAACTCTGAGTGTTGTGCAATATCTTTACTGTCCACTGGCATTAACAAAAGTGATTTTGCAGCTGCCAAATTCAACAAAATTTGCGTAATTTAGACTTTTTTTTCCACAGTTTTTGGCTAGGGCTGGATTTGAACCTGCCACCTCTGGTATATGGGGCTGGCACCCTACTCCTTTGAGCCACAGGTGTTGCCCTGTATTTAGACATTTTTTAAAAGAAAAAAATAATTAGCCATTTGTCCATATTAGAGACTTCATTAAAGCTAGGGAAAACGTATCCAGCATTTGAGTAAGTTGTGGCAGCCCTTTATTCACTTAATCTCATTTATTTCTCAGAACCATCCTATGCAAAACATAATTAAACAGTGAAGAACTGCAGATTAAAGGTAAGCAATTTAGGCTCAGAGCCTGTGGCTCAAATGGCTAAGGCGCCAGCCACATATACCTAAGGTGGCGGGTTCGAATCCAGCCCAGGCCCGCCAAACAACAAACAATGATGGCTGCAACCGAAAAATAGCTGGGTGTTGTGGTGGGCACCTATGGTCCCAGCTACTTGGGATGCAGAGGCAGGAGACTCGCTTGAGCCCAGGAGTTGGAGGTTCCTGTGAGCTGTGATGCCACAGCACTCTACCCAGGGGAATAGCTTGAGGCTCTGTCTCAAAAAAAAAGGTAAGCAATTTATTTAAACCAACACCCTAAGGGGCCAAGTGGGATTCCCACACAGCAGGTGTCACCTCTGGTGTCCCTCTTCAGCCATCTATACCAAAACTAGGAAGAAATGCAGTTACCAGCAACTATGTTCTACTGAACCTTCACTCCTGAAACTTAGTTTCAATATCAACTCCAATTAAAGGGAAAAAGTAGTATAGAACTTGTATAAGCAAAGATTTTCAAACTATATTGCTATTGGATTTTTACCAAGCATTTTAATTCTCTAACTTATTTTTTGTTCATTGTTTGTCGGGGTTATCTCATCAAATTTAAACACTCAAGATTCTTTAACGTTCTGGAGTTATGCTAAAGAGCAAACACCTATTTGTAGGTACTAATATGTCCAAGGTTCAAATTTTAATGTATGACCCAACTATAATTTGCATTTTTCTCCTAAGTAATCATCTGTAAAACAGGGGATCAGGGAATTTATGTCTGGCACAAATAAAGGTCTCAATACAGCAGAACTTCTATAAGTTGATCATAGGGGGACTGAAGTAGGCCTGGTGGTCAGTGTCGGGACTTGGCCAGGTTTGGACATTCTACTGTCATTGCTTATCAAAAGTAAATAATCAGAAAACAACTTACTATTTTATAATAAATACACACCACAAAGATATTTAGGTTCTACAATGTCATTACTCAATTCTTCCTTGTAGTAGCTTCGTAGAGACTGTGAACAGACTGGAGAGAAACTGATTTCACCAACGTTGAAGTTAAACTGAACCATCTATCAGCTATAGTGAAAACCCCACTGACCCTTTCAGTATGTGGGCAGTTAGGGACCTGAACCATCAGTGCTGGATGCCAGTCTAAACCAAGTCAGCAGACTATTTCTGCACAGGGCCAGGAAATCATTTTGGCTTTTCAGGCCAAATGGTCTCTGTTTAGGGTGATCAGATTTTAACATTTGTAAAGTGGGACAACATGGCTGGGGTGGGGCAGGGCAGGGCCTGACAACAATGCAAACTTTGATAAGCAGTTCTTGATAATCACTTCTCAGAAATTATTTATTATTACAGTTTAACATTATAAAATTAACAAAAATAATATAAAACTCATATTCTGGCGAAATAGCCACATGGCAGCTGAAAACCGCATATTCCCTTTCTGTTCTCCCGCCCGTTCGGGCATTCTTTCCAAAAATTGGGAATTTTTAAAAACACTGCAGGACACGGGACAAATTGTTAAAAAGCAGGACTGTCCCGCCAAAAGCGAGACGTCTGGTCACCCTATCTCTGTTGCAACTACTCAACTCTGCCATTTTCCAAAAGCAGCCACAGACATTATGCAAGAAACAAGCATGGCTGTGTTCTAACAAAGCTTTATTTATGGACACAGCATTTACATTTCATATTAGTTTCGTGTGTCCTGAAATGATTTTTTTTTTAGCCACTTAAAAATGTGAAGACTATTTTTAGCTCACAGGCCATACAATTATGGTGGTGGGCTGGATTGATGAGTGAGCAATAATTTCCTGACTCCCAGTCTAAATATGCAAGGGCTCCCAGGAAAGAATCTGGCCAGATATGCCTGTATTTTTCATAGTACGCAGCTGGATACTTCTGGACAGGCCTTGTATATTATTGACATTTATTTGCTGGTATTAGGTAACTTCTACTTCATCAGTAAGTGAGGACAATGATAAAAATTTTGCTTAGGACTTTGTCTAAACTGTTGGCATTCAAAATTTTAAGATAAAAAATTTTAAATTTCTTATGTCAAAATTAAACATACTGCTAGAGGAACGAACTGGCCAAGCTTCATTTATTTCTTGACGTAACATCTGTACAGCTCTCATACACACAGCAGGAAGCACACCATAGTTTCACAACAGCATCTGGCTGTACGTCCAATTATAATACAGCAAGTTCACGGGAAATGTACATTTATACACCTTACATAAATTAAAGATGAGTACACTGTGATTTGTGATAGCAAAAGCGTGATTGGAAATTCCATGACTGGATCACTTCTGTTTAATAAAAATGTACCCAATTATTTAAAAACGGCCATTTGGGGAACAGGCCAGTATACAAAATATTTGTCATGTAAAATTTAACCATTTACCTTTTTAAAAAATAATCTTCGAGCTTTAAACCTTTGTTATTGAATTGTTACAGGGATATACATTATGGTAGCAAGAAACAAATTTACTATAGGCTGTATTTTTGGCAACTTGACTAATTTAAAAAAATTTTTCATAAAGTAATAACAGTACTTTCATTAAAAGAAAATAGGTAAGTGAAATCTTTTCTTTCCACATTTAATGTTAGGTTGCTTTTAGTCATCCCTCCCCCCCAAAAAATCAGTCTGAGAGTTACTTAAACGTTTAAGTCAAACCTGTGTTTGTCGATTCTAAAGTGCTGACCCACAGACCACTTTCTTGTTATACATATATACCAATAAAAACAAAAGGCCAAGAGAATCACTGCCATCCCTGTAGAAGGAGCAGCCCCTTTTCTACCATTCTTTAAAAATATACATTTTACAATCCTTGCACCTCAACAAAGGCGGCAGCGTAATAAATACACGGGCCTACTCTGCACCCTCCAGAGCGTCCACAGACTACCTGCTGTACGCCCTCTCTTTCTTGGATTTCTCCAGCGCTTTGTCCATGGTTTTCTCGCTTTCCCCGCGACATTTGGGACAGTACCACTTGCCCTTTGGTTTATGGTTGAGGCCCACGCACGAGAAGTGGAACCACTCGATGGGGCACTCGTCGTTGTCGCAGCCGATCATCTCTCCGTAGGAGACCTGATTGCACAGACAGTACGTCGGCTCGTTGGGGTCGATGGGCAGGTCCGCGGGCGAGGCTTCCCTCTCTGCTTTGGCCTTGGAGCGTTTCTTTTTCTTGGAGGTTTTCGCTTTCTTCTCCTTGGGCGTTCCTGAGGTGATGTCGTCGTGGTCGTGATTATTAGACGCATTCTCCCGATTCTCGTTGTTGCGCTGGCGCCGCGACCGCTTGTTGTTGGGCTTTTCTGCTTGCGTGATTGTCTCGCTCTTGGACTTGTCCTGCCCAGCTCTGCCACTGTTGCCGGTGCCGTCGCTCACCTCCTGGTGCGCCTCGAAGAGCTCCACGTGACTGTCCACCTGCCTGGCCCGGTTCTCCACCAGCTCCACCATCTGGCTGACGATCTGGATCTTCTCGTCGCCCAGCTCCTGGCTCCGGATCAGGGCCCGCTGAATGCAGTGCAGCACCCGCCTCTTCTGCGCACCGTCCGCCTCGCGCTTGAACCTTTCGTAGTACTCATCCAGCTCCTTCAGGATCTCTGCAAGGAAGGGAGATGGTTACACATGCACGCTGCAAGCACCAGCGGAGAAATTCACACCGCCTTTCCTTTACTTCTCTAGTCTATAAAAAAGTAATTGCAAAGGATCAAAATGACCAATGCGAGGCTTCCCTGGATTAAAAAACTCTTACAACCTGTATAACTTTCTGGAGTATTTTTTTTTCCCATTGAGTATCTTTGAAACTAATTATAAATGCTAACACAGGTCCATTTAGCAAAGTGCCACTCAAGCACCCCAAGGGACTCTGGATCCAGTTCAGAAGCAAGGGTACAAATACTCCTGCAGTAATTAAGGGGAAATGTTCAAATTAGGTAAAGTGCTTGGACCTAAGTGTCCATCATTTTCTATTAGATTAATGATTATGCCCTATATTGCCACAATTTTTATTTGAATATTTCATTTGAATAAAATTAATTATGGAAAAAATTCATTACATTATTTATGAACATATAATTTAACCATTTCTTATAAATTATTTGAATTTTTATACTATATTTTATTTTTAATTATTATGGGTATTTTTAATACAGTAGAACCTCTGTAAGCTGAACACCAAGGAAGGGAGTAACAAACTGGCATAGAGGTGGTCACCATAAGCAATTGAGCCTACTGCACTGATAACTACTCATGGTGTACCTCCAGTCTGTGAAAACTAGGACAACTTAAGGAGGTGATCAATTGTGGAGGATCTACTGTAGTTGCGTATCTTTATATGTTACATGTCATATTTTGACAGGCATACTGATACCGGACAGGTGGCGCCCCAGCCAGCTCAGCCTAGCGGGGCTGGAGGACCTGCCGACTGATCTTTGCGGTGTTGGTGGCGGCAGCGGGCAGAGGAACCAGCAGGCTGGAGCATAGGCAAGCGAGGGGAGCTTTCCTCCCCCACAGGAGGCTCCAAAGGAACCGGGCACAAGCAGGAGAAGACACTGGAGATTCCTCGGGTGCATCCCTGATTGGTCCATTTTCAAAACCTGCTGATTGGTCTATCTTCAGGCCCTGAAAGCTCATTAGACAACTGCCCCTATATACACCCCTGAGTAGAGCGCCTAGGGGCAGATGGCTGCAGACCTCCAAGGGAGAGCGAGTTGAAGAGCAAGAGCTGTAACACTTACATCCTGCTCTGCGAGGAGGTTTCGCTCTTTGTAAGAGCTGTGACACTTGTATAGAACCTATCTTACTACTGATCCTGCTCTGCAAGGTTTGGCTCTTTGCAAGAGCTGTAACACTTGTTGAATAAAACCTAACCTACTGTTGATCCTGTGGTCTGTGGATTCATTCAAGAAATCGTTGAGACCAAGAGCCTGGAAATCCAGTATCAAAAGTCTGGTATCAATACAATGTGAACTAATCAAATCAGGGTAACTGCAGTGTCTATCATCTTAGGAATTTATTTCTCTGTGTTAAGAATGTTCCAACTCTATTCTTTTAGTTATTTTGAAGTATAGCCTAACTTACTATTGATTATAGTCACATTTTTGTGCTATCAAACATTCTATCTAGCTATATTTTTGTACCCATTAACCACCTCAACTTTATCCTTCCCGCACTTTCTGGCCTCTGGTAACCATCATATACTCTGTCACCACTTTTTTGACTATTTTATTCAAATTAAAATACACCTTTATTTTCTTTAAAGTACCAATATCAAGAATCCCCTATTAAATTGGAGAATGTAGGCTGGGCACAGTGTCTCACACCTGTAATCCTAGCACTCAGGGAGGCCGAGGCTGGTGGATTGCTTGAGGTCAGGAGTTGTAGACCAGCCTGAGCAAGAGGGAGACCCCACCCCTACAAATAGGCAGTCATTGTGGTGGGTGCCTACAGTCCCAGCTACTCCTGAGGCTGATGTAAGAGAACGGCCGCAGCCCAAGAGTTTGAGATTGCTGTGAGGTATGCTGTCACAGCACTTTACCAAGGACATCAAAATGAGACTGTTTTTGGATCAGCGCCTGGCTCAAGCGGCTAAGGCGCCGCCACATACACCTGAGCTGGCAGGTTTGAATCCAGCCCTGGCCGGCCAAACAACAATAATGGCTACAACCAAAAAATAGCCAGGCATTGTGGCGGGCACCTGTGGTCCCAGCTTCTTGGGAGGCTGAGGCAGTAGACTTGCTTGAGCCCAGGAGTTAGAGGTTGCTGTGAGCAGTGAAGCCATGGCACTCTACCTAGGGGCTCAGCTTGAGGCTCTGTCTC